GTGTGTTTGGAGCGAGCTGGAGAGGCCGGTGGTCTTGTGCTCCGAGAGCGATCAACGAGAGCATCGTGTGAGAGCACCTGGCTCTCCGATACGCTCCCTGTTTGACAGACAGCGCAGACACCTGGAAGCCCTGTGAGAGAGCATCAGTGTAAAAGCCACTGCTGCTCTACAGGGCCATGCATTATGCAGGAAGCTCTCTCTCTCTCTCACTCTCTCTCTGTCTCTCTCTCTCCCTCTGCCCCCTGCTCTGCGGTAAAAATAGATCAACAGACCTGAGCGTTCAGCTCTTTTTTATGCTTCTCACTTTCACTTGGATCTCACCAGGTGCAGCGGCTGTTGGCTCCTGCCTCGCATTTCTTTGCCTCAGTGTTTGTGTATCAGTGTGCGAGTTTAAAAGCACACATGTTTGCACACTTTTCAGTGTGTGTGTGTGTGTGTGTGTATACATGCATGCTGAAGCATGTGTGCATGTCAACTGGGGTTAGTCTTGTTTTATCAGTTTCCCAGTGTACTCGGCTTTTAATAAAAGTGGGATATTAGTCTGGCAGTGTCGCCTCTATTATGGTGGAAAGGAGGATATGATTTGATCGCACAGGGTCAGAGAGGTTCAACAACCATATATTGGGGTTTAAGGTGTTCACATACTGATATTGCAGGTGAAGTACAGGCATCAGTGGAGCCTTAAAGTGCTAAAAGCTAAATGTTGAAAGCTTGATCCTCAGATTTTTGTAAGAATCAAATGATTAAATTCACTGATTTTTGGCAGGTTTGTTTGAAAAAATATAAAGTATATTTTTACCCATATCTTTATTGATATGGGTTCGTTAAAACCCACATTGGTGACATCCTAATGTCCCGTGAAATGAAAAACAACAAACAGCCAAATGTTGAGACAAAATCCAAGTACTAAATTTTGCATGCATGTATATTTGCATGCAAGTGTGAGCATGCATCAGCATCCTGTATGCACATATGTGTAAATGTCCCCTGTTGCTGCAGTGCAAAGGCTCCCCGAAGACCATTGATCCGTGTCTATGACCACAGGGGTCTCCAGCTCCTCCCTGATTGCCATTCCACTGCTAATTAAACAGTCCGGCTTAACGAGTTCACACTGATAACAAGGTTGGAGAGAAAGGTCACCCTATCATGCTCACTTCAACTGGACACCGTCAATAACAAGCCTGCCTGGGAGGACAGGTACACGCACACACACACACACACACACACACACACACACACACACACACACACACACACACACACACGCACGCACACACAGAGGTAATCATATAGAAGATAAAGACTCAAAACATGTGCTTTTGTATTGAGAGAAAGCAATGAATTAGAATGTACTGGCGCAGAATTGGCTTCTTTTGTCAACCGTTCTTACATAAGCTTTGAGAATTTGATTAGTTTGAAGTGCCACTCTTCAGGGAGAGGCAGAGCAATAGCTGACTATTCAACAACTGTATATTTTATCTTTTTTTTTTTTTCTGTGCCATAACCTCACAAGTTTTCCGTATTTCTCCTTCAATTTTATGCCTATGAATTTTAGTCTTTTGAAACAGCATGTAGACCATCCTAAAATTCTCCACTGAAACAATGAAATTCATTTAGTGCATTAGCAGCACTTTAAATGTACTGGTGGTTTTTTTTAATGTTTCAGCCCATGCAGGAAATGTTCCTGCATATAGTATACATCGGTAAGAGTTTGTATTATATTGGCAGAAATGAATTTGGACAGTCCACAGATAAATAGCAGACACACAAACATGGAGAGGATTGTACAATTTTCTTTCCTTTTCCACATGAAGAAAAAATGCTTTTGCTGTATTTTTCCAAGCTGATGTCCACAGAGAAACCACCAAGCCAGACACACAAACACACGACCTATATATACTATCTGGCCCTCTCATCATTTATCTTACAGCAGCAGAATCAGGATAGATTGGTTCAATTAGACTGGCCTTTAATGTAATCTGTTTAATCCATTTCTATCATCAAAGCCAATACCTAGCTCTCTCCTTGGAGAGTGGGATTAGCCGAGTGCATCTCAGAGTGAGCGTCTCGGTTATAAAAACGCAGCCTCGGAGTCACTCAGATGCTTCTCTCTTTACAACCAGCTGTGGAGAAAACAGTGTATCTCAAGTGAAGTTTTAATGGGTGGAGATTTAAGATCTCCATATCGTACCAGAGGCTGCAATCACTCTGCAATGCCTCAATACAACAAAGACAAGGACGGATTTGACCGACTTGCCGAGTTGGTTTTGTGTTGGTGAAAGAGAAACCTCACGATTGGGTTGCACCAGCTATTCATAATTCCCTCAATCAGTTTGCGTAGCTGTTTTTTGTAAGTAGCTACTAGCTACTTGTCAGCTAATACAGAGATATGTCAATCTACAAATAGTGAACACTTAAAGGTCCCATATTTTACACTTTCCAGTGTTTTATTTGAAGTGTTGATCCATAGGAAGATATATTTGTGGTTTTAAGAACCAAAAACCATCTCAGTGTAGTTTTACATCTCCTCTCTCAGGCTTTCTCCCTGGAGCTCTAGTAACAACAGGTCAGTGAGCCAATACAAAAAGGCTGACTGTTTTCTGAATGATTGAATAAAAATGATTGAATAAAAATATAGCAGATTTCAGGGATTCTCAGAGAAACCAAATCCTGTAAAGGTTGGGTGGTGGGTCCAGGTCGGCGGGGCTTGGTGCACGGTTGAGAACAGTGACTGCTTTGTTGTGACATCACAAAAGTTACAGAAAGTCCTGACGGCTCGTTTTAAGGGTGAGTTTCTGTGTGAATTTCTTTGTGGACTGAGCACTTTGATACTTTCACTGTATTAATACAGAACCTAGACCTGCTTTATAATCAAAATAAACATGGAAATCTCACTTTATACAATATGGGACCTTTATTGTTATAACTAGGATAAGTTTGAACTTGAGGAAAACTGCTGCATCTCACTCACCAACTCTAGTTCTAGTGGCCGTCATGCTACTTCACTGACAGAGTGTGTTTAAGGAGCCAGGGACCTTTGAAACCTATTCAAAAAGTCATGACAAACCCCCCCCCCCCCCACACACACACACACACACACACACACACACACACACACACAAAATTGCATGGCAACAAGCCTGTTTTCTAAATTCATGGATTTCATCCAACAGCTGCAATCTGCTTTTACCTGCTGAGATTTCCACAGGGAAACGGGATTTTATACTCAATACCCATCTATCCATCCCCCTACTGTGCATGTCTATGCTCACACTGTCAGAAGAAAGAAAAAACACCAGAGCACAGGTATTTACAGCAGCACACACATATCTATTTTTGGCTAAAATGTAGTTTTTAAGTAATGTATACTGTACACATTTGGTGCATCAAATAACATCCCTTTTTCCACTATTCCTAACTCCTTTCATCCAAATTCTCCCTCAACCGGTTTAGAAACCCCAAACTGGTGTTATTTTTTTTTTTTTTTCACTTGCCTACATGAAAAAAAAATTCAGTTTTAAACACAATATTTCCTACTCCTACTGTGGATTACCTGTGTGATTGCTTTTCAGGAGAATTCCCCATGCAGCATTAGCAACACTGCTCGTCACAGTCGATGGAAGCACTCCCATAGCTCTTTTTTACTGTGTCGGGAATGCCTGCAGATATTAAAGCAATACATGAGGCTGCTTGTCTGAGTCCATTGACTTTGTGTTTTTAATGGCTTTTGTGTGTGTGTGTGTGTGTGTGTGTGTGTGTGTGTGTGTGTGTGTGTGTGTGTGTGTGCGGGAAAGTGTGAGGACACTGTAATAAGACTTGGTGGTAAAGACTTGGTGATAAATTGGTTATGTTTGGGTAGACACATGTACGTGGATGACAACATTGTCCTCCAAAGTGTGGTCATTATGCTACAGCTGCACACACACACACACACACGCACACACACACACTGGAGAGTTGTGGGGCCTGAGTGCAGCTGACAGGTTTGATCAAAGCTGATTGATTGGACGACACAAGGCAGGGCTGCACATAGCAACATGGTGGGGTTAAGGGTTGGGGCTGAGGACAACCTGCACCCACCTGCCCCCACTTTTGTTAACACTGCCTTATTGCAAACCAAATCTGACAATGGATATTGATCAGGCGAACAGGAGGGATCAATGCTTGTTGATTGAGCAGAAAACACAGGGCTAAGACTGACCACCAAGGCTGAGGATTTCTTCATGGGATTCCAACGTAAATCATCCATGAATATACTTAGAACCAAAGTTTTCGTTTATAAAAATTAACACTATATTTGTATATGAAGTATATTTGATTAGATTTGTGTTTTTAGTCATACATTTCTTTTCTCTTCATATTCATGCCAAAAAACAAAAAACAAAAAACATGCTATGGCAGAGTAAATAAGGGAATTAATTGATGATCTCAGTGCAAATATCTACTGATGCAGAATTATGTGATTTCCAAGCACTCCCAATCTCAGCACCAAGCATATTATGTGCATTTACTGCCATCTGCTGCTATTTGCGAGCAAGTGCATTGTGCAAAAGTCCAGATTTGGAAAAACATTTCTTTTTGTTAATACTGGGAATGAATGTGCCATTTAAAGGGCCACCCATAGCTGCAGCTATTTTTGAATATTTATTTTTATTACGTGACGTGACACTTTTAAACTACCCAGTATGGATAGGATGAGCAAGGAAAAACTATTTAAAGCAACATTAAGTTTAAGTGAGGCAAAGTACTTAAACTATAAAAATAAATTATTACACATAATGTATCGCAAATTGAAGATACAGGACTTTAATGTGAAAATCCACTGATGCTTTTAATTGTATGGAGATGTGATTTTTTTTTTTAGCTTTGCAGGAAGGGAAGGACCATTTTATTCCTGGCTGTTAATGTGCGACTAAAGAGAAGGTCACAGTGCAGCGTGCAGAGTCATAGTGCGCAGTCAGATAGGAGCTTTGCAAGCACAAGCACGCTGGCACAGAAGCATGGCTGTTCGGCTCTTTGAGGGTAAAAAGCAGGCAGCTGCTTACCTGCAGTACAGAGTCGCACCACATGAACTCACCAGCAGGATCATGAGCTTCATGGAGAAAAAGGTACATGTGTATGTTCACGAGTGAATGTCACCAGGCTACATGCTTACTTGTGCTAAAGCCTTCATACTATATTAAAATCTGCTCTGTATTCACTTGTTTTAATGTTTAATTCTATTTTTTCTTTTGTCATCCCGTTTTTCAGCATTGACTATTCCCTGTAAACACTTAACACTCAATCCCTTTTAGACACCAAAACAGTTCAACCTTGCAGTGGATGTGGGCTGCGGTTCGGGGCAAGGGACAACCCTTTTGGCCCCGTACTTTACGAAGGTGGTCGGAACAGACATCAGTCCCACCCAGCTGGAGATGGCGCTGGCCAGTGGCTTCCCTGCAAATGTCTCATACAGGTGAGGCGGAGGGAAATGTGTGTATTTGGGACACGTTACTATTTTCGGCTCGACAGCTGAGGTTCTAAGGTCATTCTCACCTCAAGGTTGATTTAGTATTACCTTTCATAGGCTTATACCTTATCTTATTTTAATTATTTGTATTGCATTGTATTGTATTTTAGTATTTGTCTTAGTGGTACAGGGACAAAATTCATCATCAGATTATACATGAGTAATGGTCATTGTGGCCTCCTTTTTGGGAATATTGTTTTCTGGTATTCAGAAGTTAACCTTCACTTATCTACCCAGACCCGTCGCCAGACCTCAGTCTTAAGGGGGGCATATGAAATGCATGGGAGGGCACAATTATTATCAACCTACAGTACGTATATTTTTAATAATCCTATACTGTATTCACGCATCACGTAATCATCACGTTAAACAAAACCAACAGCAATATGACCAGGTATAGCCGACAACATGAGTCCTCATAGTTTAAAGCAATACATTACATAGAAGCAATGTTATGAATATCCATAAAACACTTGACTATATAACATATTAGATGTAGCTAACACCAGAAGCATCTCTCAAACATTGCATTTTAAAGCAGTCAACAGAGGGATATGCATTGCCATTAGACACAGACACACGCACGCACGCACGCACACACACACACAGAGAGAGAGAGAGAGAGAGAGAGAGAGAGAGAGAGAGAGAGAGAGAGAGAGAGAGAGAGAGAGACTTTAAACCTACTGGTACTTTGGGTGGCCCAAATGCTGCCCCAGTCGCGGTTGCACTTGACCTGCTGGTAGCCTCCGCTCCGTGGCCGCTGCAGGTCCCGCCATGCCCAGGGTCGGGCTCCACGGAGCTACTAGCAACGGGCTCAGACTGTCGTCCAGGGTCTCCTTCTCCAACGACATCAGGAGGCGTCGGTGTCGTATCCGATATGGCAGAGGAGACTGTTGGTGGGCTTTTCAACCACTTACGAATATCCATGATGAATTAGAAATGTAATTAGTAAGCCGGTGAAAACTCATCCAGCTTCACTTTCAAAAATGCGCGGTTACTGTTGAGCGGCTACATTGACGTAGGCTACGTCACGTACATAGCGTAACTTTCTTTTCAGTAAGGCCGTGATAGGCTGTTGCAGTGTACATTCCCATCAATCAAACAAAATCACACCATTGTTTCTTTATATTTTTAATGTTTTAATAATAAAGAATACAACATTAGTATTTCTCAACACAAAATTAGCTACTATGATAATATAAAATAAGAATTAAAGTATTTTTTTTAAGAGATCTGTGCCTCAAGTGGGGGGGCACAAGCATTTTTGGGGGCGGGCCTTCTTTGCTGAACACAAATATTGTACAGTATATCTCCAGTGTAATTAACCTTCAGTTTCACATCTACAACTTTGCTCCGACCGTTTTAAACCAGACAGTGTCCGGCTGAGGAGCTTCCCTTCGCGTCCGGAGAGGTGGACCTTGTGACGGCCATGACGGCGGCTCATTGGTTCGACCGCCAGCGCTTCCTCCAGGAGGCTGACAGGGTCCTGAGGCCTGGAGGCTGCCTGGCCCTCCTGAGCTACACCATGGACATGGAGCTGGAGTATGGGGACGTGTCCAACACATTAAATGACATCTGTAAAGAAGTAGATATCTGAAAACTATTGTATAGATTTTGAAATATGTGGCGATTTACCTGGAAGATAAATATGGTATTGGGTGCATTATGGGAAATTTAGGATTGGATCCAATATTTTTGTAGCTTGACCCTTGATACCAGGAACTAGAGTACTGGAGTTCATTCTGGAGTATAGAATGAACTCCAGTGCACTGGCAGTTTGAAAGGCAATGGTAAACTAATATTAAACTTCAGGTTCAAAGTTTATCATTGATCTTACAAAACCAAGTAAATCAATGTCTGAGAAGTGAGCAGCCACTGACATCAGGAAATTGTTTATTCCAAAATCAGATATATTTTTTCTACCCAAATTGCTTTGAGCAACTTGGTTTGGAAACGTTTTCTTCCTTTCTTTCCATTAGTTTTACGCTGCCCTGCTTCCTTTCCGAAATCCCTATATAGGATCAAGCTCTCTGAAGATCTACTCAGACATGTTTGCCTCCTGCTCCTACCCAGACAAAGAGTGGTGAGTGTTGAGTGACAGGTTGCACAGCTCAAAAGCAGTCACCAAATATTCCTTTGTTATGTAACTTTTTTTGTGTGTGTGTGTGTCCAGGAACGAGTGTCTTTGCGTAAAAAGAACCTTGCCACTGAGTGGATATATTGGCATGGTGGAGACCTTCTCCAGCTACCAGCTCCTGCAACAACAGGACCCTGCGGAGGCTGAACGTCTCTCTAATGACATCAGGAACAAGTGAGATATTAGCCTCCAACTCATCCACCAGTCTAATCGTTAACTTCTGGCCTTGAGCTCCCACCTGCATTCACCTGGGGCTGAACGTTGATCTCCTAATCTCCCCCAGAAATTCATTTATCATAATCAAAAAACTGCTGAAATTCGTCTTTGAATGCTGGAACAGTCTTGGGCATTAATCAGAAAAGCCAAACATTGCTTGACTAAGCTTAACTGTTGAAGGCTTTTACTGCTTTGATAATATAGCTGCCATTAATTCCACTGCAGATGACAGGGCAGAATAGCCCAGCAAGCGGAATATATGGAGAGGAAGTGCTGAGCCATAACTTTTACATGGCTGAAAAAAAAGTATGACATTGTGTTTAATTACTATCACAGTTTGGGAAGATTTACACGTTTCTGCTCTCTGGGAAGAGTGTGACCTGTGTTTTGTCTTTCCTGGTCCAAAAGGAGGACAGAGTCATTTGCTACTTTATATTTCCCCAACTAATTCATTTCAATCTTAATTTAGCCATTAGTGCATTCATGAATTCATTTTGGATCCTACGTCTCCTCCTTGTCTTCCATCCCAGGTTGCTGTCTACCATGAAGGTTTCTTCTCCGGACACAGAGGTTACAGTGATTGTCAAGTATTTCTACTGGCTAGCACACAAACCCTGAACATTCTGACTGCCTGGAGTGTTTACAAGTCTTTTTGGCTTGTTAAACTAACTCTACTAGTGACCCACTGTCAACAGTTGTATGTTGACTGGTTGTGACCAGCTCAATCCAAAAAGCACTTCCATTTTTCAAGGCACCAAGAAGCTGAAATGATCCAGTGATTCAGAAGGAAAAATCACTTTGAAAATGAAGCTGGAAACATTTTACTTTTGGATAAAGATATCTGAGGTTTTTACTCATGTAATAATAAAACAATTATGTTCTGAAGCTGCTGTTTAATGAACTCCAGGCTTGACCTCTGTGCATGCAGAGTTCTCCAGAGTGAACACTAGATGGAGCCCTGTCATACAGTGATGGATGAGTGTCCACTTCGAGCCTCATCAACAATGTTAAAAGCTTTTATTTCTATAAAAATGAGCTTCCTATTTCATGACCAGGATAATAGAAAACTGCACTGAAAACAAACTCACTTTAACTTCTTATATCATTGATTTAGAGACATAAATTTGTTGTATTTGAACATAATTCAACTGTTAATTGCATTAAGTATGAGCAAATCATCATTATGTTGCACCGCTTGGTTTCCTTAAAAAACATATACAGCTCTCAAGTGTCTCAGAGATTGCAGATGAGATGAGGATTGTGCTTATTTTAATGATTCGACTCTGTTACACAATAAAGGACTCAGGGCTCTTTCCTCTATTTCTAGCTCTCCTTTCCCCCATTTCTTCACCTCTCTGCCAAATATATAACCATCATTTATCCAAGCCATCGCTGTCTCCCTGAGTGTCGTCCTTTCTTCTGTTATTTATGTGTTCACAGATTGTTTTGGGCCATGAGAACAGATGGTAATTAACATGCATGGCCTCCAAATCCCCTGAATCTCAAAGAACTTTATTACTCTCCCCCGCCAAACTTTGACTCACATATTGATGATGTTATTGCTAAAAATGACTACATGGATAAATCATATTTTCATATCAAACAAAGCATTTATTGCATGTTATTGGTTTAAGGTCAAATTCAGGCGCAGTCAAACAGTTTTTTCACGAGGTATGCATTGTTTAATTTCAGCTTAAATACACTCAAATTCATATGAACATATAGGAATAACACAACTTCACACCTAACACAGAGAGTCCATTTGCAGCCCCAAGCATCCAGCACCCAAAGAGTCTCTATAAAACCCCCTCTGTGCGTTTACTCCTCCACACTACCACAGCGGTCATGAGCAGGGTGACCAGCACCGGCACCGTGATGAACGGGGCGAGGACGCTGATCGGTGGGTCGTGGAGGAGACGGCCGGTCAGAGCACAGTCGTGGAAGTAGGCCCGATGAATGTGCATGAAGACGCGGTCGACTATGTGGTTGGGCCAGAAGCAGTCCATCCTCAAGGCGACTTGGTAGGTGCAGTTTGTTAGTCCCTCATATATCCTACAGAGGGCGACAGAGGGAGAAACTGTGTCCAACTCAAAGGTGAAAAGAGAAGAAGAAGCATGAAACGCCAGCTGCTAAGACAAACATCAAGTAGCATGAAGGTTATGGACTTATAGAAATCACTTCCTCTGTCATTTAGAGTAACTTAATTTTAGAAACACAACTCTTCAGATTGAAATCATCTCTGTTTGAAATCATCTCTCAGAGTGGGATCAGGGCAGGAGATTCCTTTTGAGGGGGGGGGGGGCAAAGTAGTGTCTAGAGTTACCAGTGGGTTTAACACAGCTAAATATAACTGCTGGGTGGTAGAGGGCAGAAGAAATGGAGATGCATTCCAACATGGCAGCCACATCACTACAGCACTGCACCATACCAGGAGAGATACTGTTTCCAGATGGCCGCTGTGTTCGACGGCATAGCTGGAGGCCCGAGCGGCCAAGTGGTCAGGAAGCCGAGTCTCTTAAAGGAAAAATCCACCCAACTTTAACACTCATACATATGTATTTAAGAATATGCAGTGTTGATAGATAGATAGATAGATAGATAGATAGATAGATAGATAGATAGATAGATAGATAGATAGATCCCTGTACTCCTCTTACTGCCCGTTCCTGATACACGCCACAATAGCTGCGTCATCCGAGTATTTCTGGATGTGGCAGGACTCAGAGTTGTATTTAAAGTCGGCCGTATACAGGGTGAACAGGAGTGGAATCAGAACAGTCCCCTGTGGAGCCCCAGTGCTGCTCATCACCGTCCCTGAGACCCAGTTACCCAGCCTGACATACTGTGGTCGTCTTGTCAGGTAATCCACAATCCAGGACGTGAAGCAGGGATCCACCCCCATCCCTTCCAGCTTGTCTTTAAGGATGTGGCGTTGGATGGTGTTAAATGCACTTGAAAAATCAAAGAACACAATCCTCATGTAACCACCTGGCTCATCACAGTAAGAATGGGGCCGGAGGGAGCATTTAAAAGGACGGCATCATCCACTCCAATATGTTGTTTGTAGGCAAACTGTAGGGGGTCTAGTGCAGGTTCAACCTGTGGCCTCAGAAGGTGGAGAAGCAGCCGCTCCAGGGTCTTCATCATGTGTGATGTGAGGGCCACCAGACTGTAGTCTTTTATCTCAGCCGGTCATCCTACTTTAGGTACCGGAACAAAACATGATGTTTTCCACAGGACCGGGCCCCTCCCTGTTTGAAGACTTAAGTTAAAGATCATCTGGAGAGGCTCAGCCAGCTGGGCTGCACAGTCCTGTAACAGCCTGGGACACACACCGTGCGGGCCTGTTGCCTTTCCAGGACATAGCGTCTTGAGCTCCGCCCTCTCCTCCTCCGCTGTAAAGGACAGGAGACTTGACCCCAGTGTGGAGGGAGCTGCAGCTGCAGTGTCAGGTTGTGGAGGAGATGCCGTAGGAGAAGCTGCAGCTGAAGCAGTGGGAGAGAGAACAAGTGAGGCTGTGTCAAACCTGCTGTAGAACAGGTTGAACTCACTGGCCTGGGTCCACATCACCTGATGTTGCCTGGCTGTTCTTCTCTTTATAGCTAGTCATGGTCCTCCTCCCCTTCCACACCTCTCTAGTGTTGCTGTGCTGCAGCTTCCTCTCCACCTTCTTTTTGTAGTCCTCCTTCGGCTGCTTTAATCTCCTCTTCAGCTCATGTTGCACACACCTGAGCCTCTCATCTCTCCATCCCCGAAGGCCTCCTTTTTCTGCTTGAGGAGGGTCTTGATGTTACTACTAACATAAGTTAATATAGTGTGTGGTACATTCAACCATTCTATCATGGTCAGGGTCCTTGCTGTTATCGTTTTCCTCCAGGGTCCAGTGCCTGAATGAGCGGGTATTGCTAGTTTTAGTATTTCTGAGCAAAATATTATAAAAACCGAACTGCCCATTGACTATAAGTCACTTTGGATATAAGCATGAATTACATGATCAGTATGTAGTGGTGTTTTGTGTGTGTGTGTTCCTGCATTTCAAAATGCTGGTGGATCAGGATTAGGTTTAGAGGTGAGGGTTGATGACAGTTTAGGATTTTAAGAGTGATGCCTGTGGCTATGATTAAGATTAGGATTCAGTTTGGGTGGAGGTTCAAGGTTATGGATATGGAGGTTCTCACAAGTATGATAACACAAATATACAGTATGTGTTGAGCTTCCAGTCAGGGCTCCAGACAAGATGAGTCAAGACAGGCTGGAGTGTTTCTATCGCTCTGAGCAATACAGTGCGTGTAGGATGATATCAAGTTCTTCTCAAAATATATAATTTGTTTCTGAAGTTTAAAAAGTAACAAGAAAGTCAGAAAGACATCTTGTGTGTGCGCGAGAGGCTGCAAACACATTTACACACACACACACACTGGCAATTTCCAATTAACAGCTTTGGGCACTAATATATTCAATGATATGAGATTCTGTTAATCTGATTGCAAAAAAAATTAAAAAAAATTGGCAAGAAACTCTCCAATGTTTCTTTGACTCATGTTACTAATTTAGAAAATCCTTCAATAGAGGATAATTTGCATCACTGTAGCCTCAGAGCTATCAGTCACATGGTGTAGAGACTGACACGACGGTTGTGGGTGTTTGTAGCAGACAGTATGTGTAGATAAGACATGAAGAATAACTGATCATCACTGGTACACAAAAAAAAGAAAGAGTACCTGATTACAATTTTTTCAGCTATCTCCTTTCAAAGAGTTTTTCCTCAGTCGTGTTTACAGACAACCCACAGGGACTGTTTATTTTCTCTTGGAGAAAAACAGCCACGGATCAACAAAAGCACTTGATTGCACAGAAGCAAAATGTCTGAGAGAGGATGCATCTTTATCTAATAATTCAATGGCTCATCTAGAGATGAGTGTGACTGAGATACTTTGTGCTATATTCAACTGAAATACAGAGCAGTGAAGTAGTAGCAGTAAAGCTGCATAATTATCTTTGTTATTATAAACTGTAAATATCCTTGTGATGAATAATATATATGTAGTAATATTAATTAGCATCCTGGGGGATTTCTACCACAGTTTACCCTCAGAATAAAATTGGTATGTTCACATGAGATCTGAGTGACCTCAAAGAACAACACAGTGGATCTAAACTACTCTGGGATTCATGCTGATTGAAGCCTGTGGTTTCACTTAAAAGGACAAACCACTTCAGTTCTATAATTAATTAGACCCTTCTTTCCACTACTTGGTTGACTATGTGATGCAGGCCCTGATAACTCTGTACTGGATTGCTCTGCCGGATAGCATACAGCGTGTATAGTGTTGTGGTCGGATCTCTCCTGAGAAACGTCTTCGCTGTCCATATAATTTGATTGCTGACAAGTGGACAAATTACAAGTGGGAAAAACATTTACAAAAACAAAACAAAAAAAAAAGGGAGGGTTTTTAGCTTCACAGATGTAACCGCACAGCTAATTATGATCTATGTAGACGGTCAGGGTTATAACAGCTAGAGGCAGAGTCTGAGACAGCGACCACTGCGGCCACAAGTGGTGAATACAGCTTCGAGGCAGGTTTTCTTTGTCAACACAGGCTACTGGTCACACCAGACAAAGTAAGGCTGCAGCAGCAAAACCCCTGAGTGTACTGAATTTATAAAGGGTGCACGTTACTGCCTGTGAATTCAGCTTTTCATGTGTAAGAGGAAGATTGTCTACATTTATCTTTCAAAAGTTACCTTGTGTAGATTTAAGCCCACTGGTCACACTATTATTATTATCATTATTATTATTATTATAAAACCAATGGATGTCGATGATGGCATCAAACATTGTTGCATCAAACGCTCTATGTGCCTGTATGATTTTTATATTTTTTTTCATATGATGAGACTGCATACACACACACTCACACACACACACACACATGCATACACACAGAGCACCACCACCAGTTATATGCTGGACCAAGAGAGGATGACCGAGTCAGGAGGGAAATCTCTCAGTTTTGACAGTAGCTTTGTCCTGTGGGTGCTGCTCCCAGCTCCTGTCTGACTCATCCTCTAACTGCTGCTGTTGGATGGAAGAAAAAAGCACTTCTCCGAGTCACTGTTTGGCACACACACACACACACACACACACACACACACACACACAGAATACAGTGTCCAACAGCTACAGTGAATGGCCGTGACTAAGTGATGGCGTGAGTGAAAACACAGTACTGCAGGCAAACAGTTTCGACAGCAGGATGAAGATGTGAAGAAGTGAACTCAACTCAGAGCAACATATTGTGAGCAGCATCAGGCAGAGTCAAAACAAAAAAGTCTAATAGGGAGAATGGAGGAAAAAAAACATACATTTGATATGATGCTATGTGCTGCCTGCATGTAATGTATTTATTTAGTTAACCACTGAGTATATGCTTCCATATGGAGGAAATACAAGCTTCTTTAAACAATTAATCATGATTTTCAATCCATTATACTGTGCAAAAAGTAATACATTATGCTGACATTTAACTCATGTGATAATGTAACCAAATTTAAATTTTACTTTTAGCCATTTCTATGTAAAATAGGTTGGTGACATATCAAATAATAACCCTGTTATTGGTTTCCTATACCAATATCTGTGTGTAATATTGTCGCTCATAACGAGACCGTGCAGTGCAGGTTAGGTGTCAGGACTGTGTGTGACACTGATGTATTGGGTGATTATGGCGGTAAAATTAAATGTTTTCCCTGGGTGTGTCGGTGGGCGAGAGAGATCAGAGGTATCACTCTGTATGATTCTAATAAAGCTAAACAAAGATATAGATATTGATCTTCACTCAGAACTTAGAGGTGATTGATAAAATGTCTAAAATGTGACACAGTAAAGTTCTCTGTCAATCTACAGTTGCGAGTTCCGACTGGGAATCAAATGCAACCTGCAGTCGCTGATTGACATGAGCTGTTCCATTCATGCGTGGCTACCATCTGACTACAACATCCAGGTGCAGATGTACAGCTCAGCCGCTTCAGCCTGACTCTGCTGGTTGGCTCATGCCAACCCGGTTCGCTCACTTCACAACCCCAACCTCCTCATGTGGTAAGTTTTGTGGTGTTGTTGATGTATTGGTTGACTCTTAATGATTCTCTCCTGTCAGTTTTTTTAAAGGCTTCCCCCCCCCCCCCCTCTTTTTTGCACGACTCAGTCGGTGAACTCACTCCATTGTGTCGGGCCAGCTGCACCACAGGCCTTGGTCCAGTCCTCCCATGTCGAATTTGAACTTAGCTAAGCAGAGATCATTGATAACCCTCTCGTACACGCCCCTGTTGCAGCCAGACACCGAAGGAAGGACTTGGGCTACAGAGAAAAACAAAGGAGGGAAACAAAGCATTAATTAAGTGAAAAAGGATGTGGGTGATGATTTTATTCTGGTGAGTGACGAGTAAAACTTTGCATCATTGTAAGGATAGAAATGATTTTATAAAGCACTACAGAGGTTATCTGCTCTGTTTAACTTTAGATAATTAGGCATATGCTTGTTCAACAAACAAGGTCATGTCCTGGCAATGGTAATTCCTATTGGACCGTTTCTTCCCTATTATGCTGTTACTTTCGCGAAGAAAAGATTTTTAATTTGCTGTCGGAGTCCCAATCCCATTTGTTTACTTCAGAGATGTGCGTAAACAGCCTCTTAACGTGGAGGCAGGCCGCAGCCGTCCCGCAGGACTCGCTGCTGAATGTAACACCATGAGCGGTACAGTAAGGAGAGGGAGCTTAAGCTGGCGGGAAAGGCCTGTCTGGAAAACAAACAGGTTGTTGTTACGATCAAGAAAGACGGTGAAGCTCGGCCTGCGCCGGCCTGATAAGGGCCGACTGTGTGCCCATTATGTTTGCTCTGTCTCAGCTGGGTTTTGGAGGCTCTGAAACACTCAAAGGAAGACTGAATGTGTTGACATGGGGGTTTCAAAAGAGATGCTAGCAAAAGGAAGAATGTAAGAAATGGACGGGCCCCTCCTGGCGGTGTCCATTAGCTTGTTTATCACCCACAGAGTTGAAGGGATGTTATGTGTCACCTGTCTGTTTGCTGGCAACAGCTGGTGGCAAAATCTGACATTCTGGCATTCAGATTTCCCTCTCAACTTGGCTGCTAACCAGCGATGCATTCACATTCCATTTTCCAGGAAAATCAAACTAGCAAACCACCACAGCAGAGTTATAGCTGGAGGTTTGCACTCCACCGACTTTTACCCCTGTTTCGGGGATAGGAAACATCCATCAATCTACCAGGAGTCATCAATTCAATCTGCCATTCCAGGGCTCAATATTTATGGAATTTTTAAAAAGTGATGCTCATGAATATGAGATGATCCATTTAGCTCAAATGCCAGTCGTGTTTAGCCCGCTGCTGCACTGCCCCCCCACCCCCCTTGGAAAAGGAGCTCATCAAAAAGCCTCATCAAGAGAGGAGAGTGTTGAAAGCAAACCTACCCTTTTTATACCACCTGTCCTCGTGTTGCTCTCAGGCAGAAACATGTCGGGAGTTGGGAACCACACTGCAGCACTGATGACACAAATATGTTTCTGTACGTGTTATAATTGTGTTTTGGCAGCAGCTTTTAAACCCTCCGAATAAACCTGTTGAACTTCCTCTCTGTGCTGCAGGTCACACAAACCCCATCAGGACAAAGTACATTTACTCAAGATGTACTCAAGTACAGTTCTCTGGCTCTTTCTCCATTAAATACTTACTTACTTACTTACTTACTTTAGACTTTCACTTGTCTTATTTCAAGATACTAGTTACCTCAGAAGTTAAGATTTTACTTACAAAACACATGATTAGCTCATAAAGTAAGCTGAATTGTTAACCTGACACTGGATGAAACAATATAATAAGCTTCATCTTCATAGTAACAAATGCTCCTTATACTCTTTGATGCATAACAAGGGCATTTTCTTATGATATTTAATTAGATTTTGCTCATAATACTCAAGTAAAAGTTGATGCATAACCTGTAATTAAACTGTATTTTGCAGTGTGATGTTTTTACTTATTCTCTACACCCCTGACCTGAGAAGAAACATGTACAGGTACAATGCATAGTCCAAATTGTACATGCAACAACAACAATAAAAAAAAAACGCAGTATCAGGGATGGGATTACAGTGAACCTCAAACACCTCACCACCACAAACACTCACCTGCCATCAACAACACAAGCCCTGCTTTCAGGAGCGACGCACTCTCCAGTGCCATGCCGAATACAACCTCCAAGACACGCTCTGCTCACTCCCTGGAGATCAGCTGCCCATATCTCATTCTTCCCTCCGCTATTCAAGCCAAAGCCACTGAGCGAGGGAATACACCACGACGTTGAACCGCAGCTCAGGGTGTGCGGGCAGCGAGAAGGCGCCAACTGATTGTGCGTAGAAAACCCCTTGACCTTCCACAGTGGGCAGCCTCCTTCCCCCTTAGCGGCCCTAATCATAGAAGCTCAGCCTGTCATCTGATCCCCTTGTCCTGCAGCTTCCAGCGTGGAGCTGCTCACAGGGGACAAAACAAAGTCAAACACCAAAATTAGTGCAGCCATAAAGAACTCAGGGAATCACCGCAAGAAAAAAAAAGTCATATTATAATATGTATCGCCTTCATTTACAGGCATATTATATAAATATCAAAACATATGGGAATAGTGGAGATAAAATTAAAAAAAAGATGTAAAATCTCTCCATAAATTCTCATCTGCAAACACTCATCCCTTGTGACCCTGTGAGTGTAAATTGTTTTTATGTTAAGTCAACCATTTTTTATTTTTTAGTTAAGCTAGTTAAATTTATAAAGTCAATAGACCCTAATTAGCTCAAGGGCAATTAAAAAATGAATAATTTGTGTTCACTTTACATAACGAAAACACAAAACTATAATAGGACTTGCAGAGTTATGCTGAGTACATAGTTTAAAAAAAAAAAAGTCAAAGCAACACTATATTTTAATGTGTACACCACGTTATGTTTGCGTTTAATGAACATAAAAATAAACGCTAAATGCTCAAAAACCTTTTTTTGTTGTGTGATGTGTGGAGGAAAATTCTATCAAAGCTCATGCGATACAGTTATTTCATCATCTAAGGTGTACTTATAACATTCATGCTACTGTGCAGCGCTAAGCTAAAAGTTCTGCATGCAAACCGTTTCCAATAAACTTTTAAGTGGCGTGAGTAAATATATGTATTATAGATTAAAAGTCTGCAGGAAACTATGATATTGCAATGCTGAGTCCCTGTAGGAATGCTTTTTATTTACTCATCTTTTTTCTCTTACTATATGAATGCCTCAGCATCAAGAGCAGATATCACATTATACACTGACCTCTTATTTTGTACAGATGTCTGAGGCATGTACAGTTTGGATCTATAATGTGCACCAGAGGCCTCCTGTAAGATCACACATCATAAGACTCATTATAGGTTTTTAATTAAAGTCCTTTGAGTCACATTTTCCCTCATCACTTATTTATTATCTGTAACGGATTACTTGGAATACCTGCTTTCAGTGTGAGCCAATCGAAAACCTCGCGGTGGACAGGATTCCCGTTTTCATGTCACACGTCACGACATATCGGCCCAGATCTCACGTCACTAATTGAATGTTTTATCTGCAACAAAAAGCCAGAGCGACGTTCATCAGTATTCTCAAGGCTGCTCTGCCTTGTGCTGCCACCCAGTGCTGGTGCGCATGTGAGAGAGTGATCCCACGAGTCAAACAAGTTTTTCTATATATAACACAGTGTGTGGAACAAAAGCCTTGAAGTTCATAGTTTAGATGGTGTTTATCTTGGATTTTAGCACGAGAAACCTTCAGTCTATAAAAGCATGCATAATTACTTGAAAGAAAGATTTTGTTATGTTCACACACACACACACACACACACACACACACACACACACACACACACACACACACACACACCCACACACATACACACACGTGTTTTTCAAAAGGCATACATGCTGATTTTTATTGATATGATATATTGATTGATATTTAATTTAAAGGAAGAATCATTTGCCAACATCACGACAGCGCTGCAGTTTCTGTTCAAGAATGATGATAGCTGGGGGTTTTACGGTGACCTTGTAGCCTTTGGTTGAATGCTCATGGATATTTGAGGAAGATACAAGGTCAAATGTTATTTTATGATCCCTAACAGCTCCATGATTCATGTGAGCTGCACTGAAAAAAAAAAGGCTCAAACTGGAGTAATTCTGGGAAATATCCCCTAGAGAGCAGCAGAGGACACTGAATGAACCCTCTGTTTGGCACTGAGGGGACATTTGAAGGAGCATCCCGGTGCCTTTAACACCCCTGCTGCCTCGGCTGTGGAGTCATCTTGTCATAGAGCCAGGTATGCAGGAGTTTTCACTTTACATGGGTCACAAATCAATATCTCCTTTGTCTTCGCTGATTTGCCAGCTCGTTTCATATCCTCACATCCGTCCACAAACGAAGCCAGGGAGCAGGGTAAGGTACACAGGCTTGTAAAATGAGCGGCCCTGAAAATGGTATATTGCTGGAGCCATTCTGTTCATTGCAGCCCATTTGGACAAGCATCATCAAAGTTTACAGCCTTCCACGGTGGATATGTGCAGAGGCTGACCCTGCTGGCACCGCAGGAAACTTTTCTGATGTTAGTATAAGTCTGTAATATCCACTTAAGTCACTGTAATCTCTAAATTATTACTATATTGTTTTGTAATTGTAATCAATAGGCTGTGTAGCTACTAATGAAATGTGACTTTAAATTATGATCATTACATAATAACAACAACAACAACAAAAAAAAGTACTCTGTTTTGTTTCTTGCAACACACAAGGTAACAAGTCGAGCTCCACACCATCCAGCGGGAAACCAAAACACAATCTGCTCCTGACAGGTGCATTGACAGCAGCAATGAACCCTAATAGCCAATCAGGAGAGGTGATAAGTGAGGTGGGCGGATTTCCAAAAAGGAGACAAACCGCACTAAATCTTTTGGATCGCCCGTTTAATTGGCTGATTGAGGTGTCAATCACACCAAAGAGGCGTGCTCAGAGCCCCCCCCCCCTCCTCCTTACCTTCCCAACACACACACGCACTCCACCCCCCTCCCTCCCTCCCTCCCTCACTACCCCACCCCCCCAAGCCACCGGCGCTATGGCAGTGTGAGGAGTAAATGGCTCAGAGTATCCGCGGTGGAAACCGACCTAAGCACTGGTCTGGGAACCGATAAACAAACAGCAACGCGCGTAAAAGCTCTCCACGGTGCTGGTTCTGGGAGCGCACGGAAACTGTGCCAATTGTCCAATAAGCCAAGAAGACACGGGAAGGGGTTTTTTTGGGGTTTTTTTTTTCTTTCTTTTTTGGTTGTTTCTTTTCGTGCGCGTGAACAACGAGGATATCTTAATTGGACATGTGAGTTACTGGAGTTAACAAGACAAGTAGCCTTTTCCAAGATGAAGTTCCCCGCTTGCGTCCTCGTCACTCTGGTGTTGATCCGATCGAGTGCAGCACAGTCAGGTGAGTGCCTGGATGCGCGTCTCTGATCCTGGGTCAGACTTCAAAAAGCACGGGTGAAGTGAGGGTCCAAGCTGCTGCCCCCCCCCCTCTCCCCCCTCTAAAAAGAACCCCAGCTTTCTAGTCTGCCACAAACCTTTACCCAGAGGCAGAACAGTGAGGGATTTGTTTGCTGAATGATAATGAATTGACATCACAGTTGTTTTCTTAGCTTCGACGTCGCCGCCACAAACTTGACACAACTTCACACACACAACACACATCCGCACGCGCTGATGCTGATGTGAATCATCGCGGCGAGACTCGCTCGCACCGGCAGTAAACTGTGAGATACAGCAGCCTCTGGGCTCTGCGTAAAAAGCTCTCCAAAACTCCCCTCCTTATATTTGCCCCCCCCCTTTCAATTTAGATATGAAGCTTATCAGAGCCACATTTTCCAGCTTCGTTTGAGTGCCCGGTTTGGTCAGTCTTTTCTTTCTTTTAGATTTCACGGAAAGAAAGCGACTCTGTCATGTCAGCCCGGCTCGTTTCATATTGTCCCTTAAATATGAACGAATGCGTCGCCCGTTTTAATTTAATTCCCCCTAAGCGGACATTGATAGACCGATGGCTGCGGCTATTTGCGCTAATTTGTATTGAATTGAGCTCGGTTGCACCAGTGGCACAGCTTTTTTTTTTATTCCATACTGTCTTTGAATAATTTAGATGTAGCAGATACACTGAAGGGCTACACAGGCAGTGGGAAAACATCTCGCTTTCATCATGTGGACCCCTGTGGTGTCAATCCCCGGACGAAAAATCACTTTAATGTTCCTGCAATATTTCTATAAAAGCTTGTAATGCGTACGAGGCACTCAATAGTCAATTTTTAGTGAAGTTAATGACGTTTTTGTTTATGTGTTAGCTCTCCTTTTTTTCCCTCTGGCATCCCTGTAGGATATTTACTGATAGTGTTTCTGTGATATTTGCTCTTGCAACATGTAACATTTGAGGTTTCACCACTTTTCTGTGTGATGTTTTGTCCGTGAAGCAGAGAACCTCACCTGCTGTTTATCCAGGAGAATAACAATGTCAGGCTTTGAAGCTGAGAAATTTTGCTGTTGAACTTTTTCAATCAGCTTTTGTTCACAGACTTTCTGATCAATAATGGCTTTAATGTGGTCTACTATTCTGTTTGGTTAGGAGTGTGAGTCTCCTTAGGAATGATAGCAGACTATGAGATGCACTTGACTTATTTGCACAGTAATATGTTATGTTTCACTTTTGGGCTGATAACCAGTTGCCAGAATCTGCCTTCCTAATTGAAATAATCAAGCGTTGGCAAGGAAATGCCAAACTGGAAAAAAAAAAAAAAAAACACACACACACACACACACACAAGCAGAAACACACTGAGGAGTACAGGAGAGTTTGTGGATTGATGTTCAGAGGTGAATTTGGCCATCGCCCAACTTCCCTGAGGCACAAATGGGATTCCAGGATGCTTTTCTTCCCGCCTCCAAGGACAGGTCGAGATTTGGCTCGATCCTCTGGCGGTTTGTGGTTCTCAGGCAGAGCTGGAGACACAAACACACACACACACACACACACACACTCCCCCGCTGGCTCTTGTGTGGATCTTGGATGGAAGGCGCTGAATGCTGACTATTAAACAGGAGTGGATGGATGCACGGATGGATAGGTGACAGGCGGGATGAATGGAG